ATATATATATATACATATACATATATATGATATTGGTGTTTCATCTTGATTTACAATATTTTTTGTAATTTTTGTAGCACCTCTGATTAACTTTGATTTCAATTTAACATTTTCATACAGTTCCTTAATTTCACATCTAAGAGTTAAGCTGTATTTAAATTGCTAGTTAATTTGTTGTGCTTTTTCTTATATGATTTTGCTGTTGTTTTAGTTTGTTTTCTTTGTTATTGTTATCCAACCGCACCACACAAGTTGTGTGTGCACCGTTCTAAAGGTGAAGTGTCAATAAATAAATAAATAGATAGATAATAGAATGCTTTTTATTTTATGAAGTTCGGTACACAACCTGGGGAGGCAAGACAGCCACATACAGTAGTCGTTTGACTAGTGTTATTAAAATACCCAAATACAGAGCCTGGCGTGGAAGAGGCAGGAACCATACCAATTAGCCAAGCTCTCCCTGCTCAATTTTGGGAATGATGTTGCTTCCATTAGAAGTTTATAGTCATTTGTTAGGTAAAAATAAACGCCCTGCCCTGTGGCATTTATGCGAGGGAGTCATTTATTCCAAATGAGGCTCTAGAGGGGCGTTTATTCGAAGGGGCTTTTTTTCGAATCGAATAAATACGGTAACTACGATTAACATTACAGAACTAAAAATTTGATAAAAAAAAAATTCTTAAATTTGACACCAGCTTACTTAATGTTCTATATGATTAATTTGGAACGGTACTATTTATGTCTCTATTTTAACCGAGGCATAAATCAATCTAAAAATCAATTAATTAAAATGAACGAAGTTCGGCCAACAAATAAAATAGAGGGCGGCAAACAGACATTTTCTGTTATCATCATCATCAGCTCGTAAAGTTTTCCATGAAGTTTTTGCAAACAATTATAATAGGGGGCAGCAGACAGATAATTTATGTCATCAGGCGAGCCTATTTCTACTGGGAATGGATCACAATAGAATCAATGTCACTCTCTCGTTTCCCAGTGCAGCAGCAGCAGCAGCAGCAGCAGCAATAATAATAATAAATAATAATAATAATAATAATAATAAAAATAAATAATAAATAATAAACAACAACAACAACAACAACAACAACAACTATTATTATTATTATTATTATTATTATTATTATTATTATTATTCTTATTC